CCAACAGAACCAACAGGGATACACTCTCCCTTTCCAGTTCTTGGTGTAAGTCATCCACCAAGACAACCAAAGCAGTCTCTGCCCTATTACCAGACCTGAAGCCAGATTGAAATGGTTCTAGATAATCTGTCTCATTCAGGAAGCCCTGGGGCTGAGAAGCCACAACATGCGCCAGCACCTTGCCCTAGAATGGGATATTAGAGAATGGGTGGTAATTATCCAGTACCTACCCTATGTCTTGGACCCATTCGGCCAGTCCCTCTCTGGCAGTTTTTAAAAGACAGTAAGGGCAATGGTCCAGCAGACATATTGTAGCCCTCACCTCTCCAAGGGTCCTGTCCACGTCATTAGGCTGTAGAAACTGAAACTTATCCATCAACGCAGGATAAACATGTGTCAGATTTACATCTGTAGAACTTGTGTGAACTACAGCATCCAAGTCAGAGCAAATCTGAGCCATTTTGCATATAAAGTGTTGTGGAAATTTTTCACAGTGAGCTACATTATGATCAATGCTGATTTCCTGTGGATCATGATGTAACAGCCCCTTGATCCACATGAAAGGGCTCTGCTGCCACAATGGTGGCAGAGAAAAATAACTTCTTTGCCACTGGTACGGAATAGACCTTCCAATGGACTCAAACCCATGTTTGGCCAGATTCACTCTGAGTTTTCCACCGCCATCACTCTAGTCTCCTTCCGATTCGTTTCATCACCACCAACTCCCCAGTAAACCAGGGGGCCAGTTTGGCTCTACTTAGTGGGAGGGGACACTTAGGAGCTGTTGTATCAACCACCCTAGCCATTTTTCCATTCCAGAGATCAACCTGGTCTTCAACAGAATCACCTGCCAAGGCAACAGGACACCCCCCAAGAGTCAACAGGAAACCCTACTTACGACCATTTCAAGTTACGAGCAACTCCGGCCACAAAAATTTGCTTCAACTTATGGCCGGAGTTTCAAATTACAACTAGGAAAAGATGGGGGATAGGTGGGAAATTCAAATCGTTGGTGGTGAAGAGGCTGCTTCTTTATAGCCCTTTTGTCCCAGCGGTTAGGGAAAGGGATGCAGTGGTGGGGGAGGCGGCAGCAGGGGTCTTACCCCACCTGATGGTGGGATCCCAGTCCTCGGCCTCAGTGCAGGGGCAGAGGGGGCCCTGATCCCGGCTCCTGGAGGAAGGGTCCTCCCACGCTGCTGCCTCCTCCTTCCTGGCGGGGCCACGCTCAGTGCTTGGCCCCACGGGGTGGCTCCCCTTCTCCACCGGTGGGCAGCTCCTGGGTGGCCATTGAAGAGCATCAGGTGGTTCGCCCGCCAGGGATGCCTGACGCTGCCACCAGCAATGGCGGTGGCTCGCTGGGATGGCTGCATCAGGCCTCGGCGTCAGGGCTTCTGTGAGCCTTGCTGTCGAAGCGCTGCAACAACTGCTGCACAGAGAGTGAGAGGCTCCGCCATGCCCAGCCGGCTGGTGTGGAGGTGGCGCTGAAGGAAGCCACGTGCCTGGGTGAGCGTCGCTGCTGCCTGACGGGCTCCTCCAGGGACGGGGAATGGGCAGCGGGGGCAGCATTCCAGCACCAGGAGGCTGAACCTGGCCCAGGCCGCCATTGTGGCCGTGCTTGCCCTCCTCCACCACAATCCGCCTCTCCAGGCGCTGGGAGGAGAGGCTCCTCCTGGCCGGAATGCTCAGGCCACTTGCCCTGGCCTCGTCCTCCACCATGATTGGCCCCACTGCCTTAGCTGCCCTACACCACCGGCCAGGGCCCATCGTTGGCTGCCATCTGCCATGGCTCCGTTGCAGCTAGGCTGGAGAAGGGGGCGGGAAGGGGGCGATCAGGCAGCCAGGGAACCCCCCCTCTGGGAGAAGAGGAAGAATTGGAGGAGAAGGAGGGAAGGGGGTTAGGGTTGTGTCCTCATTACCCCCAGGATTTTCATTTTTACCCCATTTGGGGTAATTTACCCCTGTTCTCTGACCACTGCTCCAGACCCATATCATCAATATCTACCTCAGTACAGAAAACCAAGTCTAAAGCGTTCCCAGCAGCATGAGTGGGCGCAGATACCATTGGGGACAGACCCATGGTAGTCATGAAGGACATGACGTCCTGAGCCACTCTTGACAGCAAATTAGTAAGCATAGGAACCAGAAGAGATTAGAAGTTTTTTTAAAAATTTAATCTATTCACTCAATCCTGGATGATATTTCTTGCAGAGAGAGGTCAAGCCACCAGAGAGACCCCAGTTAAGTTACCAACACCAGCAAAACGAGAAGAACTGGCAACAGGAGTGATTAGCCCTGAGAGAAGGTGAATGTCCAGTTACTTAAGACAAGTTTCTCTGGTAGTCTGTTCTTTGGTCTTGATCCATGTATTGATGGGGGGAAAGCTTTTTTGCAATGGCATCTCTGTTAACACCTATTTAAAGCCTTTCCTACACTTGCAGCAAATATTAAAAGGCTGGGAAGGAAAATCTTTTAACGTTACACCCTTCAGTGGTCTTGGATACTTTCCTGTTTTCTATAATTAAAAGTCACTCTTATGCCTCTAGAGAACTGGAGCATGGATATACCATTCTCTCTCAACATCCCAAATTATACCATTCCAGAGGGGGGTCCTTCAGCCAGGTCTTGGTTGGCATACCCTTCCCCCCACACACACACCCCACGAACCCCTGCCAAGACCTTTCACAGAGGTCCCTACAGCTACCATTTCCCGGCTCTTCCTCTCTTGGAACCTGACAGGTGTCGCTCGGTGGAACTGGACCTGAATCAGGCGCACGTGGGAAGCGGCCAAAAGAGAAAAGGCACCAAAATGTTTGGGAGCCTTGAAAGAGGCTTGGATAAAGTCATCACAATGCTTACGCCAAATAAAAGGAAAGGGTCAGCGAAAGATGGTCCGAGGAAGTTAAAGGTAGGTGTGCAAAACATTCCTGGGTTTCTTCCACAGATGCCTCGTGACAAAATGAAGGCGGATGTAGTGTTTCGGTCCAAGGCCGGCATCCTTAAACTCATGAGGCTGTTCCTTTCTGAGAAATCGTGTTTCTTCCCCGTTTTTTATTTTTTGTCGAAACGGCAAACTTTCCCCCTCTTCCTTTTAAGAAACCCTGACAACAAACAATTGTTCTTACCTCTGAATACTTTTGAGTGTGTCTTTGCATTGGGCGGACTGGGAGCTGCCCCTGTGTAATGCTCTGAACACATTCTGTGCCTAGCTGAGCTGCCTTGTCTTCCAAAATAAAGCTTCCCAAGTGTGCCCCCTGCCCGTACAAAATAAAATTTTCTCCCCCTCCACTGCACTTCAGTTCACAGTCTGGTAAGTCCTATAGCACGGACTGAAAGACAACATTTGGACGCTTACTTGCAGATTTAAGTCCAAATTAGGGTCAGCTTTAGCAGCTACCAGTTTCAGGAGTTCGGTGGCAGAGATTCAGCTACAGCTGAGTGACCTTGTGTTTGTAAATGGCTTGTGCAACATAGCTTGTCTGTTGCAGGCCGGCATAAAAAACCCACAACGATCTTGCTTAACAACGAATAGGGAAGTAGATGCCCATTCTGTGGTGCTTCCAGGGGGATACGATCATGCTTAACAACAAGTAAGGAAGTAGATGCCCATTCTGTGGTGCTTCTAGGGGGATTGCGTGGCTCATACTTTAAATCTCTGGCCTATTCAGGAAATGTCATGGGGCAGATTGGCAGAAACAAGATAGTTACAGTTGAAACAATGAAATACTTTTTGGAAAGTAGGGCATTGGATCTGTGTTGAGTTAATTATGGTGCTCTTATAGGCGGTAACAAGTACCAAATACTTGGGACTTTTGTGCAGAAGCTTGATCCTGAAATATTAAGCAAGAAAGAATGGAGAGTCTTCTGTTTCAGGCCTGAAATGCAGAACTGTGTTATTGACGTGAGTCCCAAATGTCAATACATTGGATCTTACTGTTAATGGGGTTTGCATCAGAATGCAGATGTTAACAAAAAGGAATCTGCTACCGCACCCCTGCTGCACTGCTCAAGCTACATACCTCTTTTTCCCAAAAAATAAGAGGGTCTTATATTAATTTTTGCTCCAAAAATGCATTAGGAGATTTTATTTGCATCAGAATGCAGATGTTAACAAAAAGGAATCTGCTACCGCACCCCTGCTGCACTGCTCAAGCTACATACCTCTTTTTCCCAAAAAATAAGAGGGTCTTATATTAATTTTTGCTCCAAAAATGCATTAGGAGAATTAATTTTTTTCATGCACAACAATCTACATTTATTCAAATACAGTCATCTCATCTTCTTCTGGTTGCTGCACAATGGTGGAGGGCAGGGTTTCACTTAACTGGGGCTTATTTGTAGGATAGGGCTTATATTACAAGCATCCTGAAAAGTCATACTAGGGCTTATTTTTAGGATAGGTCTTATTTTCGGGGAAACAGGTAGTAGATGCCCTGCAAATAACTCCAGGTCATGTAGTTTGAGAGAATCTTCAGCCAGATGCTCTCTAATGCTGCCATGGAACAAGACTTATGGTACCTAAGGGTCATGTGCTGCTTCGGCAGAACACAAGTCCAAAATATCATGTTAATTGAATATTTTTTGTAGGCCCATTACAACGTGACCACAACTAACCTCCTAAATCCAGATGAGCTGCTGAAGGAAATAATTGCTGTCCTGCCTAAAAAACGAGTGGATTATGTACAGAAAGGGTAAGTGCCTGTATTTTTTACATCTGTGCGGCGTCTTGGCAGCTGGTCTTCTGCTGACTCTAGTAGAGAGGTGCAGGTTGGGTTGCCTCCCAGCTGGTATTGGATCTCAGCTCCTACTTAGCATAGTCAGTGGTGAATGATGATGGGACTTGCAGTCCTAAAGGGTGAGGAAGGCCACTTGTTTCCCACCCCTGTTGCTGTTTTTTAATGCCGTATAATTAACGCTAATATGCTGCCTGAAACATACACATTCACTGCATGCCCTATGTCCCAGTGCGGGGTGAATAAATGGTAGGTGAGGGTAGGAGAGACATTCCAGCATAAAGCCTTTCACTGTCTCCTATTTTTTAGTTTTAACCTTTTCCACCTGATTCAACTGACTGAATATNCCCCCCCCCCCCCCGATGTAAGGCCTGCATAAAAGTTGGCTCTTTACCCGTTGTGTTCCTCTAATTGTCTCTCTTGCAACATCTCGCCGGCTGTAAGTGCCTGAACTAATTCCCTTTTTCCTTTTGTTTTACACAGCTATAAACTGAAATGTCAAACACAGTCAGATTTTGGCAAAGTGACAATGCAGTTTGAGCTGGAGGTTTGCCAGCTGAGCAAGCCTGAAGTTGTGGGCATCAGGAGGCAGCGGCTGAAGGGTGATGCTTGGGTCTATAAAAGGCTGGTGGAAGACATCCTGTCGACCTGCAAGTTATAATGCTCCGCCCTTTGTGGGGATATGGACAGTTCTACTTTAACCTAGGCACGTTCATTTTAGTTGTTGGAAAGTACATATTTAACCTGTCCCAAGGACTAGTATTCTTTGTTTTTAAACAGAAGTTCCTTTGTGAATAAATGTGACCTATCATGTCACCGTCTGCCCCACTTTCTCTTTTTTAACCCTGTGGGGTTGTTTTAAGGATTTGCTTGATTTGTATCTCATTATTGATGCTCCTGTTGCAGCGTGACTTAGTTTTGCAAATGACATTTAAGCATGCATCCTTTATTTGAAATTGGAAAGAGATGTGAGGTCCAATTCGAAATTAGCCTGTCAATTAATCCAAGAGGCAAGAGTGAGTGTGTAACTGAAGCAGCACATAATGAAATGCTTAAATGAAGCCACAGCTACATTCCAGATTTAAAGATGATGTTCGTTTGCTTTGTTGGATCAACATGCCTTTAATAAATATAGAACATTAAGGTCATCATTGCTATACCATAAGTGAATGCAACTAAAGGGTTATCACCATTACCCTTGGGAATCACCATTGCCTTTGGGAATGTCTGCCACTACATTCTTCAAACATAGTCTGGTCATTGACCATACAGTAGGAGCTACCCTGCCTCTGAAAAGGTTTGTATGGATGGAACATTAATATTAATATGTATGAAAAATGATGGCAGAAAGTGAGGTGGAATTAAAGAACCTCTTAATGAGGGTGAAAGAGGAGAGCGCCAAAAATGATCTGAAGCTCAACATAAAAAAACTAAGATCATGGCCACTGGTCCTATCACCTCCTGGGAAATCAAAGGGGAAGATACGGAGGCAGTGACAGATTTTACTTTCTTGGGCTCTTATGATCACTGCAGATGGAGACAGCAGCCATGAAATTAAAAGATGCCTGCTTCTTGGGAGGAAAGCAATAAGAAACTTAAAAAGCAGAGACAGCATCTTGCCAGCAAAGGTCCGCATAGTAAAAGCTATGGTTTTTCCAGTAATGATGTATGGAAATGAGAGCTGGAGCATAAAGAAGGCTGACCCCCAAAGAATTGATGTTTTTGAATTGTGGTGCTGGGGGAGACTCTTGAGAGTTCCCTGGACTGCAAAGAGAACAAAAGTATCCATTTTGAAGGAAATCAACCCTGAGTGCTCACTGGAAGGACAGATCCTGAAACTGAGGCTCCAATACTTTGGCCATCTCTTGAGAAGAGAAGACTCCCTCGAAAAGACCCTGATGTTAGGAAAGTGTGAAGGCAAGAGGAGAAGAGGACAACAGAGGACGAGATGGCTGAACAGTGTCACTGAATCTGCCAACATGAATTTGATCCAACTCCAGAAGGTAGTGGAAGACAGGAGGGCCTGGCGTGCTCTGGTCCATGGGGTCACGAAAAGCTGGACATGACTAAACAACAACAACAATGAAAAATGACACACAGAGAGACATAAGACTCTTGCTTTCCTTTTTGGGATATTTTCTTGATTTCTGGAGATGAATGATTTGTTCTAAAGGGAAGGGGGATGCATTAAAATCTTGACTTTTTGTCTATCTCTTTTTCACCTGTCAAATTTCCTAGGGGATTTTCCGTCAGATAGCTTTTTGAGGGATGTTGTGAGCAGCCAATAAGAACATTCAGGGGAGAGGAGTGGGAGTTTTGAATCTGTAAAAAGGCCAGGATTGATTGGAAACTGGTCAAGTGTTGCTTTGTTTCACTCACAATTCCTTCCAGGGAAGAGAGAGCCAAGGTAATTTCCATAAATCATTCTATGCCAGCCTAAAAAAAAAACCCTGCATGCTGATAAAGCAGTTGGTGGTGAGGCTGAAAGCTCCGCTATTCTTCCTTGCCTCGCCACTGTGTGCCCGCCTTGGTGCACCTGTCCAACTGCAACCACCTCACCACAAGTTGGAGAGGAGAGTTGAAAAAAAGGTGTTTGATGATGCTGGCATCGGAGAGCATGAAAAGTGAATAGGAGCACAGCCCATCTAAACCAAACCACCAGAAGGTAGAGGAGCAGTGTGAGGACCTTAGAGATGACTTTGCCACTGTCCACCTGGTGACTTTCCTTTCTAAGCATGGATCTGGTGTGCCTTAGTTATATAACAGAAACCTTGCCGAAAATGTTTGCGCAATAGGGACAAGATGTTGGCTTGCAAAAAAGGGGGTTTTGGGATTCTTTCACTCAGATGCATTGGGGTTCTGCTTCTGCTGTTGAGGCAACAGACCTTTTGGAAAACAAAAGATACCTCAGCTTTTGGGGGACAGTTGCTATGGGTTCTTGAGGGGTTTTTGTTGGTGGTGGTTGTACTGTTGCCTGCTTTTGAGGTGGATTGGTTCTCTTTTGCTTTGCTTCTGCTTTCTGGAAGGGAGTCTTTATGGTTCTTTAACGCTTTTGGGGCTAGCATCAGGAAACAAATGGGGAAAATGAAACAAAATGACCCCAAAGAGCCTGTTCATTTCACATTAAAGGAAAGGACCACTGTACAAAGGAGGACCCCGCCCAGAAAAGAACCCAAAACAAAAATGAAGCTTTTTGCTGTACACCTCCCTAGACAATTCATTTCACATTATATAAATCAGTGGAAGTAACTAAGATTTTTGCTTAGCCTGGATTTGACCTAATGTGGACAGACTGAAGTCTTGCAACACTGTGGCCCAGTTTTTCATCATATTATTAATTTATGATTCTGTAATTGCGTTCTTGTGTCTCTTTTTGTCTGGCCAATTTGAGGTTTTGGGTTTTTTTTGCATTGCACAATTTTCCAGCGTGAAGAACTGCTTTATTCAAATGCGACGAACCTGATCATCATAGCAACTCTTCAGTCCATCTGTAATAAACTGCCACCAACCTTTTATGTGAACCCTTGATGGTATTAGAAAGCAGTATATCCTGTGATCTTCCCACCCCTCCCCTTTTCCTCTTTTAAACTAAAAACAAGCAGGGGATAATTGATTCAAGTTATCTTACATGCTCTGATGTGTGAAATAGGCTCTTCTTTCTTTCATAAGGTGCTGATTTCTTATGCCTAGTATTTTCTAGTAGAAAACAAATTACTGTACCACAGCGATAATTTGGAAGGTGATCAAGATGCATCCTTTGTGTGTTTGCTCCCATGGATTTGCTTCTTCTACATATGGAGCAGTCCTGCTTCCTGGCCACCACTAGATTGGTTGTGACACTTAGGTATTTCCTGTTGTGGTGCAAGAATGACAGAAGCTTCTTTTTCAGGAGCTTGTTTGATGTTGAAAATACATATTTTTCAGAAAGATGGGGAAAACCTTCATCTCTAAAATCCTTGGAGTGCTACAATGTCTTCAAATTGTGCTGTACTTATATTGCTTTAATTGTGCCACTTCCTGATCTGGAGGAGCTATGGTGCTGTTGCCTACCTTGACACAGTGTAGTGGAGAAATTTTGAAATAAGAGATGAAACATCTGATAAATAATACAAGGGGTGTTATAAAACATGCTAGCATCTCACATTCCTCCATCTAAACCAACTAGAAAGGAAAAAGTAAAATGCAGTGCAACTATATACTCCAGTTCACATAATAATATCAGAGCAAGTAAATGAACTAAACGCTAAACATCCACAAATCTATTAATGGGATTTGTTTTCTCCAGATATTTTTCAGAAAGCATGCCTAAAATGTGTAGAAGTTGCAAGAGGAAAAACTCGGTTTCGGAAAGCTGTTTCAGACAGTGAATAGAAGTCCTTGGAGATGTAGATATTCCTTACAGAGCAGACTATGCTGTTTTGGAAACTGCTTGTGAAAGACCTCTCACAATTAACCATGGTTTATCCTCAGATCAGGTTTGGGAAAGGAGCTGTTGTTTAAACCTGATTGCCTCGTCCTTGGTCCAAAGGTGTGCAGTTCTTCAGACGAAAGGGTTTCGTTGACCGTGTTATCCTTGGCCATCTCTCTGGGATGGGACTGGAAAGCATTCTTTTTCAGTGGCTCCAGCCCGTCCGGGAGGGGAGAACCCAGAGGGTGGTGCTGAGGGACAGTGCAAAGGCCAGGAATGCTTTTGCATAGTTAAAACTATTGTAGTGCACCAGCTGCACCCGTTTCTTGAGAGGTCTCTGATCTGGCCACGGTGACACATGCCCTAGTTACATCTCGGTTGGATTACTGTAACGGGCTCTATGTGGGGCTGCCTTTGGAAAGTGTTTGAAAACTCCGAAGGGTCCAAAAAGCCATATCCACATTGTTAACTGGGGACTGGTTACAGGGAAGCTAGGCTGGCTCCATCTTTGCTGTTCTTCCACAAGCAGGCAAAAATATCATCAATCTTTTCCTTGGTGACTGGTTATCTGAGAGGGTTTTTTCAATGGGCCACTAGTGACTGGCTATCTGAGAGGGTTTTTTTCAATGGGCCATTATGGATTACTGCTTTGAAGGTGTTTTTGGCATTGCTTGTGTTTACCATTTCTCAGAGTGACATTTGTTCCTTTTTTAATATTTGTATACTCATTGTTTTTATCTTTAAATATTGTCTTTTAATGATGTAAGCCGCCTTGGGTCCTTTTTAAGGAGGAAGGTGCGGTAAATATTATAAGCAAACAAGCCAGGAGTGACCAAGGAAAGGCCTTTTGGTTATCAAGCTGTGTGCTCCAAGTAACTTTGTGTGTAGCCACAAAACCCAGAATATGCTTTGATTTCTCAGCCAGTAACACATACGGGACAGCGGCTGTTGCATGGATGATGTTCCTATGTTTTCTCCTAAGAGAACACAGGAGCGGCCCTGCAGCACCAGCCCAAAAGACCTACCTACCTGTTCAAGCTTTCTGCCTCAAGTTTGCGAAGTGAGATGTTTCTGGGATGTGCATGAGCAAGGAAGGAGGGCAACAGGCCTCTGCAACAGTTTCCCAACCAACAGTAATTCATACTCTCTTTAAAGCTGGAGATGGTAGCCAGTGAACTAATGAACTAATTTAATCCACTTTTGTATCTGTCGAAGCTAATGGACATTGGCAAGTCTTGGTTTTTTTCTAGGTTTTATTCCCCGTTGAATACAGGTCGCATTCTGCAAGCCTCAGTGCACCCTTCAAGCTGCCCCAGAACTGCCTCCCTGCCTAGGTTGGCTCAGATGTGGCATAACGCGGTGGGACTGCCACAGGTGAACATTCCCCACACACCTCGATGGCTCTCCT